AATCAGCGCTAATGGTCTTGCTTACTAAGTATTGTTTTGTCGATCTTCTTTAAAAAGTGTAGGTTTTCGCAGGCATATATTATCGACTTATGGGTAAAATATTTTCGTTATTTGTACAAATTCCTGAGCAAATAAACTATTGATTACGTATTGGTCGCAAATTTCATTGGGCACTTGAACTAGAAATTTCACAGTTGCAAGTAGTAATGCTAATCGATTCTTAATCACTTCTAAAATATAATGTTGGTACCGTGACCAGTTCAGTTCCAACGGTTCTAACAAACTTGGACTTTCAATAATTCACGATGCACGAGTGATCACGAATAAACAACCCCCGCTTAATCGAAAATAACGTTAAAATATGCTTCTTTTAGCATCAAAATTATACTTAAAAGGATTTGAGTAATAAATTACGTACATAAGCTAAAAATATTTAGTTTCGTTTAAGCGTTAAAAATTATGCTTAAAATATATTTAAGTAATAAATTAAGTGGTGTGATATAATTAAAGAATACATTACATCTGCTCTATATGTATATAAAAACAAAATAAAAAAATAACCTAATTTTTTGCGATGTATCATTGAAAGTCTAACTCTATTTTTAATACTAAAAAATAATAATTCTTTGTTAAGGACTAATAAAATAATTGACATAGTATATATGATGTATTAGAGATAGTTTCATGTGTAATTAACTATGCAAATGCGCGTATATTATCTTTTCCTACAAGATAATTGATATAATATATATGACGTATTATAGATAATTTCATGTGTAAGTAACTATGCGCAATGTATGTGTTAACTTACTTTCAATTTTCTGATTTTGCTCTTCTGTTCCAAATATACACCCTTATTATACATTTATCAACTTTCTTGCGATCAACAAATGCAAGAGAAATCACGTGAGGACAGGCGAAGAAGTCAACGACTTAAGGAACGTAGAGAAAGAGCATATGTGCGACGAAATCAACAATCTGCAAGTGAAATTGAGACAAGAAGAGCACGCAATGCTGCTTCCATGCGTGCACGCAGAGCAGTCCAAACATCTGAAGATATTCTCCATCAACGTGAATCAAATACTGCTCGAATGCGTATATTGAGAGAAATTCATGTTTCTAATAATAATGATGCAGGTAATGTATGCATATTAATGTCTATATCGAATATTTGCAATTAAAAATTCTAACCTTTTTTTTTTATATATTTAGCATCAATTATTCCTGCCATTGCTCCTTCCGTCTCTTTACATATTGATTCTTTACCGACAGCACTATATCCATTTCAACCAGATACTCTAAAGCGACATCGTCTGGGTAGAATGGATCAAATATGTCAAAATTGTGGTGCTAGCATGTGGTTGGAAGAGAGAAAGGCAAATTCAAGGAAACGTTCACCTATTTTTACAGGTTGTTGCGCAGAAGGCAAGGTTATTCTTCCAGCTCTACAGAATCCCCCATCTGTACTATATATGCTTCTTACTGGTGCTGATACTAGAGCACGCAACTTCCGTCAGTTAATTCGATCATACAATTCAGCCTTGGCCTTTACCTCCATAGGTGCGAATATTGTTTCAGGTACTAAGTATATATTATTATTCTTATTACCTGCTATTATAGTATAATAATTAGAACTTTTTTTTTTACAATCGTTATCGTTCAGGTGTTTATACATTCCGCATCCATGGAGAGTTATATCATAGCATTGGATCTCTTTTACCTGTTCAAGGTGCAGATTCTCCGCATTTTACTCAGCTTTATATTTATGACACAGAGCATGAAGTGCAGAATAGAATGAATGTGATGCCCTCTCTAGATGCTACTGTACTTACGGATTTGCAGAGAATGCTGGATTTAATAAATCCATATGTTGGAGTTTTTCGACAAGTGCGTGATATATTAACACAGGAACCTGCTACAATGCTTTCAATGGTAGTCAAGGCAGACAGGAATATAGATTCACGACGCTATAATATACCAACTGCCAGTGAGGTAGCAGTTATTATGGTAGGAAATGGTCAAGAAACTGAGCCTTCTCATCGTGATATTGTGGTTAATCTTCGAGATGGAAATATTCAACGAATTTCAGAACTTCACAGATCTTACATTCCTTTGCATTATGTATTGCTATTTCCAAGAGGCGAAGATGGCTGGCATCCATGGATTCCTTTTCGTGATATACAAATTGATATAGTAATTAATATAAATCAGGATAATACAAATCAGGGTGAAAATAATGAAAATAGTTCTGAGAGCGAGGATGATAACCTACATGTGACAAAGCGTAAGTATGTTACACTTATGCAGTTCTATTCATATTATTTACAAGTACGAACAAAGGAAGGATCAGGGTTACACTTGGCAGGTCGATTATTTCAACAGTACATTGTAGATGCCTATGCGACTATTGAACAGAATCGCTTGAATTTCGTGAAAGCTAATCAGAAAAAGATCCGTGCAGAACTCTATCAAGGTGAGTATATAAAAGTATAATTTCGCTATACTATTTTCTATTCTAATTGTCTTTGTTCTTACGCGAATTGGCAGGCTTACAGGATGCTATTTGTAATATGGATGAACTGAAAGATGGAGGAACAGGCGAAAACCTTGGTCAGCGAATTGTTCTGCCTTCAACATTTACAGGAGGCCCCCGTCAGATGCATCAACTTTATCAGGATGCCATGGGAATTGTGCATCGCATTGGAAAGCCTGACCTTTTTATAACCTTTACTTGCAATCCAATGTGGCCTGAGATTACTGCTGAGCTTCTTCCTAACCAATATGCTCAGGATCGTCCTGATCTCATTGTACGGGTCTTCAATCTAAAGCTTAAAGAGCTTCTCAAAGATATTCTTAAAAGTAATATTCTTGGCAAAGTAATAGGTTATATTTATGTCATTGAGTTTCAGAAGCGTGGACTTCCACATGCTCATATGCTACTAATTCTTGCGCCAGAGAATAAACCTAGAACGAGTGATGATTTTGATCGCATTGTTTCAGCTGAAATTCCTGATGCGACATTCTATCCATTAGCATATGAAACAGTAACAAAGATGATGATACATGGACCATGTGGCAATATAGCTCCAAATGCCCCTTGCATGCAAAAT